AAGCTGGCGGCTTTGTAATTCAAGAGATTTGTAAAGCAAATTTTTTGAATCTCTTGAAAACAAGGGCGGGCAGCGAAAAAAATTGCCACAACGGCGAAGCAATGACTGCAATAGCAACAAAATGAAAGGTCACGCACAGAATTGCAAGCAGATTGAAACATGCCCTGCTTTTCTCATGCACAAATGATGCATGAAACGTACTCATACGTACAGATGAACGTGAATAAGCATCTCGGAATTGTTACTTTGCTGTGTCTGAAAAGCGCGCCCTTTTCACAAACAAAGGCTGTGCAACAATTGCAGTGACCTTTGTGCGCCCCGTAACTACAATAGAATCGTTCCAGTGCAAGCCCGATGCCAGCCCAGACGTATGATTTTTCCCACCGGGAAATAAAGGCGGGCTAGAGATCGTCTACTCCCCTCTCTCCGCGGGCCAAAGTACGTGCGAGAAATGAGAGCAACTGCGCGCTAATTGAACCGTCTTGCTGATAATGCTGAAAACACGATGCACTCATCTCCACTTACGTTTGCAGTGACGACAACTCACATGCATCTGCTCTCCTCTCTTGATCGTAACTTCTTCGCCCGTCTCCACCGCTCTGCGACGCCAGCCATGCTGGCTCGAATTCAGAAGTTTCGTTTTCCGACTAGAAACAAGCCCAGAGCTGTTCCACGCGTTGTGGCATTTGTGGCGTGTGTGCGCATCTTGCTCTCTCTTGGTGTGCATGTGTGGTAAGGTTGGCGGATGAGAGGCCTTGCACGCTTTTTTCTGCCGCTCAACAAAACGTGGAAAGTGTGACCGCTTAACTTGAGCGTAATCCGCGTGTTAGGTGCCGCGTTGCAGAGTGCTTGCTTATAGCTGTTGACCACCTGGCAGTTAAGTTGTCGCTTCGGGCGTCCTGGTATTCAGCTGTGGAGATGGTGAATATCTCGTGGGCGATGGTGACGGCTAAATGCGCGCGAAACTGTTTTCGCGAGGCCAGCTTCGTCGATGTCGGGCCCGATGCCAAACAGGACAAACAGGCTTCCGATGCCAAACAGGCTTACAAACAGAACCACTCTGGCAGCAATTTGTGGCAACGCGTCATCGACTCCTACATGGGACAGTGGGTGGAATATCTGCTGCGATGGTTAATTATGGCGGATGACGATGCCGACATCGCAGAACCGTGCACGAATTAGGGCATTGTGAATGAAGTACCTGGCGAGAGCGATTCGGAAGAATCGAATTGCGAGAACGACGAAACTTCGGAGCCAGTGCTTCATGCAGCATATGCCACAGGCCTCTGCGAAGAGCATGCTGTTGCTTAAAATAAACTCGAGACCACCCTTATCGCTCTTGCTCTTCGAAACATGTGCATCACGGACTTTTTTGGGCAAAAAATATTGTGTTTTCACTTGCAAGTTTTTTTAAAGCTGTGTTCAACTTACTATGAATTTCGGATTACAGTGAACGGATGCCGCATCATGCTCAGGTTCGTTATAAGCAGGCTCGTCTGTAATGAGCTTATGACAGCAAAACACATGACGTTAGAGTTCTCAGAGTGCAGCTTGTCAATATAAACCAAGTCATCTTTAGTGTCCCTCCAAAACACCTTGCTGCCGATTCCATGTTTGAGCAACATTATCTACATGATTGGTTCGGGCTTCGGTTGCACACGATCAGCGGTCGAGCCTGGCAGGGTCAGGTCGGTGAAATCATCTTTCAGGCTCGAGCCAAGCCCAGGTTTTGCTTTTGAGTCATCAGGCCAGGTTTGGGTAGCGAAACTTCAACAAGTGGCGGGCTCAGGCTAGGCCGAAAATCAAGGCCCGTGCAGTGCTCTCAGGCAGAATGACGCATGGACGGGCAGATGATCGAACGAGTGAGTTAGATATGCAATTTAGGCGTCAGCCTACTAATGACACGTCACTCCAAGAGCTTTTAGGCGTTCACCGGCGCGCCAGTTGTGCATTGTATAATGTCACTGCTTCTCGGGCATGCGCATCATGGCTCTCAACAAGCCACGCTAAACTGCCCAACCTTGGCCAGTGTATCCCACAAAATTTGCGTTTTTTGAATAGCATCTCTCCTTAAACAGCAAGGAACAAATGAACAAGGCTACTCGCACAATCAAGGTGTAATAAGTAGTAAGAGACAATGCAGTTTATCAAAGGTTACTCTGTGATAATGACAGAAAGCTTTGAAAAACATCAAGTGTCCCTGCCTGAAGAAGCTTTCTTTTTACTCCGTAATTGTGTAGATAACTATTAAAGAGACAAAGATCTTTTCCTTCACCAAACATGTAAACAATGACTCATACAAAACAATAACACTCCATTAAAGAAAGGTTTCATCATGAAGGATTGAGTAATGTCTACTTTCTTAGAAAAACAGCTCTAGTACGGGACACAAAAAGAGGCGACAAGACCAGCTGCTGCTTTTCCAAATTTCATACATACAGTTAAACTTGCCTAGAATGAACCTCCAGATATTCAATTCCTCGATATAATGACGTTTTTCTATTCCCCGCAGTAACTCTGTAGAAGCACATGTACTTGCGACCTCTATGTAACAAAGTACAAGCGGAAGACATCCTTGACATAACGAATGTTCGGCATGGACAATCTAAATATTTTGCCCCGGATTTTGTCATTTTGGCACGAGCATGCATTTTCCGAGAATGCCCAACAGCCGACAAAACGCCAAGTGGCGGCAGCGTGCATGAAGCACGCATGGTAAAGCCTGCTCACGGCACCGGCGACTTCCAAGCAAGTGCGACTTCCCACGAGTCGGCATTGCCACCACGGGCGCATGTGCCGATGTGCTCTCCTCATCCCTACAAAGCACGGTATTAAACCGTGCTCTAAAAGAAAGTACTTTTACATTGATAGTGCCACACCTTCAGTTAGCGTTACATATGTGGGGTCCCACTGAATACAGAGGGCACTTTACCAAATAGTTTTCCACAGTATCGATGTCATTCACTCTTCGTTTCCGATGCTGTGTGTGCGTGCATGGTTTCACAGCACGCACGCACAGCATTCTTTTAACGCGGACAACTATGTCGTTACCACCGAGGAGATGTCAGATCAGGTGTGGATGAAAACTCTCAGACACCACGGTGACAACGCCGGAATTTCGGGGGTGAACTGGTCACATGATTTTTTTTTTTTTTTTGAGCTTGCGGCGGGCCACGAGTTCGCGGGACCGTAGCCTTGGTGATTACCTCTCGCAACAACATGATGGCGCGTTGAATGCAGTGCAATGATTACCGTAGCAACCAATTGTAATGTTAAACAAAGTGAGGCTGGCAGCCAACTCTTTTGGATCCAATATCGCGGAACAGCCACAAAACGTTGGTGTCAGCAAATACGGCTGCTCTAGGGAGAAGTGCTCATTTTACAAAGCCTCTTTGCGTAGTAAGTGCACCGAGTTCACCGCTGGTACTTGAGCGACCCCCCGCTCCCTGCATTTTTTCAAGCTTTTTCGAGACGGGTGGTTTCCTTTCTGCTGGAGCATTCGATGGCAGTTCTAACATGCGGGTAGGAGGGTGTTATTGTATGCACCCTCCAGGCGATGGAGAAGGGTCTGATTTGATATGTGAGGTTTAACGTCCCAAACCACCATATGATTATGAGAGACGCCGTAGTGGAGGGCTCCGGAAATTTCTACCACCTGGGGTTTTTTAACGTGCACGCAAATCTGAGTGCACAGGCCTACAATATTTCCGCCTCCATTGAAAATGCAGCCGCCGCAGCCGGGATTCGATCCCGTGACCTGCGAGATCAAATCCCACTAGACCACCGACCACCGCGGCGAGGCGATAGATAAGGGTCGGCTCATTAGATCTCTGCTTCAACTGTGGTCGCACGCTTTTACCTGCTCCTAAAGTTACCAGGCATGTTATCAATTTGGACTTGTTACGAAACATGGCGGGGACAGCAAAAACCAGCCAAGAGTGTCCATATAATTGCTATCGCAATAATAATGCATTTTTTACTGCCAAATAAGTGTTTTGAGTTCGCTCTGCCTACAGTTCCCTTTTTTAATACGTGCGTTTATTTTTTTTAATTTGTACCGAACCTACATATATCGAAATCCTTTTTAAAATGAATTTTCACAGAAATAAGTCAATTTCCTTAAATCCAGGTTTAACTGTACGAAGGAGCCCAGATTAACGTTCTATTTCAATTTATGTGCAGTTGTCAGGTTTCCTAACTGCCAAAAGACTTACAACAATGCCTTTATTCTTCAGTGTAGCATAAGTGCATTCTTAATTTATTAAGTTGTTTACTATATGTTGACAAAGCTATCTCAGTGGCAATAATCTAGAGACGACCAATGCTGGCTTCAGCAGAGGGGGAGAGGGGGCGTAAAAGGGGCACCTGCCCCCACCCACAAGCCATACAAGCCAACAGGGTGTTGAACGAGCACTCCTCTCCTCCCCCAGCCGCAATTTTGCACGGGTTTACCCTTCCCTCCGAATACAGCATCCTGCCGAGGCCTATGTGCGAGTGTGTTGCCGGTGAACCGAGCAAGGTAGCAGTGCTTTCGACTACATCGTCGCCAGTGCAGGATCGGGATTTGGGTCCAGCTTGGAGCGGCAGGAATTTCAAACCTCCCAATTTAGGCCTTTTATTGTACAAAAATTTAGGGTTAGGTCTCCGCACCTGGATTAGATTGAGTGATAATGTCTAAATTGCAGGTGGCCGAAGTGGCCTTCAATTCTCGCAGAAATTAGTGTAACTGAGAAATTTCTGAGGCTGGTCAAGCATTTTGGCATAACATGGTGCAACTTTCAGCAAATGTCATGCTTAGTACTATGCAATAGTGCAATAGTACTATGTCGAAATTTGCAAATATCAAAGTTATACTAGTATGATGAGACGAAATGAAGCAGCATGTCTGCTGCTTGCAAGTTGGCTGCAGTATGCCAAGAATTTAACTGCAGTGAACATACTCTAATCAGTAGTGACTAGATTATTAGTTAGCTCAAATATGGCAACAAATGACCACTCACCGTTCTCGCTCAGCCTTATTGCGCAGTGTCTTGTCACTAGAAACTTCCCGTGCCGTCTCCACCGACACCTTGGCCTGTTTTGTCTTCATCTCCTTGTTCTCCCTATAGATGGCATGGAGAAACTTCACTGTCAAACTGCATTATCCCTGACAAATCTAAGGTCGCATCACTGAGTGAACACATCTGAGGGTACGGCAACTTGAACTGCTGTGACAACTACGTAAAACCCTGGTGATGTGATCACAGCCAGTACAAACATTGACGTGATATGAATTCATACTATGCGATTGTACTGCGTGAATTCTTACTGTGTGATAATGAGTCCTGCATGATTCTTTGTTTGTCTTGTCTATTTTGTTCTGTTTTTACCTTTTACAATATATAACTAACACGCCCAACGAAACACACTTCTGGAATTCATACTACAGTAGAATCTTAGTTATATAAACCAGCCTAATACAAATTTATAAAATTCCCTGGCTGAATTCCATTGTATCCAGCGAGTGAGAATTCATTTTCTTTTTGTTGAATTAGTTGGTTTTTGTTTTACTGAAGGAATAAGGTGCAAACGAGACAATTACAAGAGGAGACATGGACGAACGCCTACTAACAACTGATTTTATGCGAAGAAAAGAGGAATAGTTACATGTAGGTTTGCATTTTGATAGTGCCAATCACATGGTATGCTCAAGTGATTAAATTTTTATGTGATAGAATGTGTTTAAAAAATTAAAATACCATTTACACGTGGTGTATTCCAAAGTGGCACAAAAATTGAACATAAATATTGTGGCGATTACAGAAACAAAATCTTCAAACAGATAACACAGTGACAACCATTAAAAAAAACATTTATTTCATTTCTTGGTCATGTGCAATAGAAATTTCACCTAATGCGAAAAGTTATTTTAACCTAGTGTTTCTAAAAAAGGCATTCCACATTCATATAACAATTCTGATTGTTTGCGTACACAGGCTAAGCCCTCTCTTTTGATACAGAAGGCTTCTTTGAGATCGCGTGTGACTTCGTACCGACTTCTACACAAAACCAATGTTTCCTTTAAATGAGAAACACATCCGCAGGCTTTACAATACATTGCTAAGTTAGTCTCGGTCTATGAATGAACGATCATGTTCTCTCAGCCGTTCATTAACTCACTAACTTGCAATAAGATGTACATAGGACAAACTGGAGATAGTTTAAATGTTATCCCCTTGTTTTCGAATAAAATCAGTTGTTAGTAGGCGTTTGTCCATGTCTCTTCTTATGTTGATCTCATTTGCGCCTTATCCTTCCATAAAAGGGCCAGAATTCAGATGTTCCAAACACTTTTCTGTGTCAAGACATGTGATATCATCTTGGGTGATAAAACTGTTCAGCGAAAATTAGCAGCAGTGCACTTCGGAAGCACTGGAAGTTGCAGCATGCACACAGAGTCTAAACTGAACTTATCATCATTCGCTCTAACCACTGACAAAAATCATGACAAAAATCATAAAGTACATGTGCATCGAACAATCATGAGTAAAGTGACGCTGCATGTCGCAATCACGGCAGACAAAAGTGCCAAAGATGAAATCACAAATAGCAGTGACGTAGTTTTCGAGGCATGTGTACGACCAGTAGGCATGTGTACGGCCAGTGCACTCAGATTGAAAACAAATCTAGCATTTGCCACAACTGCTGCTCGAGAAACTGTGATTGCTACTGACACATTCGACACCAACTTCACAGGTCAGTCAATACAGCAAAAGCTTGCTGATTAAACACCCATTATTACAGAAAATCAAATAATTCAGGTACATTCTTTTATAGCAAAGCTTATAGCGAAATGGCCATTTAGGCTAGTTGGTAAAGGGTCATTGTGAATGCAAAAAACCAGGCAAAGTATGAAACAGGGACAAGAGAAGGGAAGGACAACACAGGTGCCTGTGCTGTCCTTATCTTCTCTTGGCCATGTTTCGTACTGGGCCCCACTTTTTTCATTCAAATGAGCAAGCTCATAGATTGCTTAGTGTAATTAAACTACCCTTATTTTGTGATACTTAGACGCAACCTGGTTAAATCAGATGATTGTTTCTTAGAGTGTGCCGAGTGCAAAGCGTCAGAAATTTGTGACACAATGGAGCGAAAATGATGTTTGCGGACAACTGAAATGAGTGCCCAGTCTGCATCGTGATTGCCATCAGTGCGAGCCATACGGTAACAACAGTAAGAACTTTACTGGTCAATTTCCTGTTCACAAGGGAGCAGATTGTTGGCTTTGATGGTGTACCATGTCCATAAAGTTAAAGGAGTACCGACACAATTTTGAGTTATTGTAAAACAGACATTTTAGGTTTATTTGGTATGCAGTGTTAACGCTGTCCACATGCCAGAGTTAGACATGTATAATATATATTACTTTCATTTTGAACTTTTCATCACTGAGCATTAGTGAGCCAGCCCTATCGCAATGGACATTATTCAGACAAGTGAAGACAGTTGCACTAGTTTCGGTGAATTTGCGAATCCTGCATGCAGTGCAAATCGAGAACTGTCAAGGTCAGTGAACAACAGTTATGTTTATGTTTACCACGAGAAGATGACAGATCTGCGGGCAGTAACATTGTGAGGTGCTAGTGTGTGTGTGCTCCCAGTATTGTCCTTGGAAAGGGAGAACTCACACACATAGCGCTTGTGTGTGTTCTCCCAGTACCATCTTTCTCATTGCAGTGCTGTGCTTGACTTTATGTCTGACTAGCATGTTTAAGGTTAGTTGAGACAAGATGGTCTTGAGCTGCAGCTACATTGTGAGCAAAGTTGTGAGTGGCATAAATTACAGCTTTTAAACTGTTCTGATGGATCGCAAGTACATAATTTACACATTTATTAAGAAAATGAAACTTTACTAATGTAATATCCATTATCATTTTCTTAATACTTTTGACAATTCAGGATACATTTAGCTCCAACACTTTTCCCGGTCTCGTGAAATTTGCATTACAAGCTTTTACTGTACAACTGTAGCTCGATTAAAGAAAAAGAAAAAAAAGGCCTTGCCTATCAAACTTTGCGTCCAGCTGCTTCATCTGAGCAGCCTGTGCCTTTAGCATAAGCGTGCGCAGCAGTGCCCCCTGCTGAGTGAGCTGCTGGCGCAGTAACTCCCACTCCTGGCTACGTTGTGAGGCTAGCAGCGATGACCACTGGTGCATCTGGTTGACCACGAGTGACCGCACTGCGCAGTCCTCGCTAGCAGCCGTGCCAGAGTCATCGCTGGTGTCCCGTGGCAGAAGCTTTTCCACGGCCAAGCACTGCTGCTTCTGCACCTGTGGGGGAAGCCACTCAGTCTTTGAACATTACGCTGCACATCACGCTATTTGAAGTTTGAACTCTTGCAAAAGTAGAATGAACAAGGAAGCTAGTTAGAGAGTAGTCATTCTTTAACGTGCACTGGCATCACACAGCACTCGGGCCTCTATCATATTGCTTCTATCGAAATGCGACCACCGTGGCTCAGATCGAACTGTGGCCTTCGGGTCAGCAGCCGACCATCATAATCACTGATCGACTGAGGCAGACACGAGGGCTGATTTACATCAGACCGTAAGTTGCCAAGTGTAGTCACCAGTACACACGAGTAACGCTTGCCCCCCAAAAATGCCGCATAGAAACTGGCTGCTTTGAACGAAACTGATTCCCATGAGATGTGGAAGGAGGAGGAGGAATAAACTTTATTATAAGAAACGAGCAGGTTTAGGTGACTGGGCCTAAGCCTCCCATGAGGGGACGTCAAGGGCTTGCTTCAACGCTGCCTCACGGGTGTGCTGGGTCGCCCAGGTTTGGTCGTAAAGAGCGGGGCTCTGCAGAGCCTCATGGAGCTTTGACGAAAGGGTCGTGGCGTTAGTGTGTCTGTACTGTGCCGGGCATTCCCACAGCATGTACAGAAGCGTAGCCGGGTGAGTGCCGCAGCACCGGCAGTGGGAGGTTGTGTACACGTGCGGGAGTATAAGGTGAAAGCGGGCAGGTGAGAGATACGTGGCTGTTTGACGTGCACACAAAATGGTGGCCTGTGCCCGGTTGAGCTTGGGGTGAGGTGGGGGAAAACCTCGGCGTCTGAGGTAAAAGGAGCTACCAAAACTTTTTCTCCTTTTTGCAACCGCATATTACCTAAGACGTATACTCTAAGAAAGCACTGCCACGAAGCTTTGCTGGAAACAGTTGCACGGTACCTATAGTCGAACCACGCTACAACGAACGCCGCTTCAATGAAGCTTTCACTACCACAAAAAATTTCTTAGTTCTCTGTCAGCAGTCCATAGGAGTGAATGCATAAATATTTTTACTGCAACCCACACTATTCTTCTGCCGTTCAGCTTCAATGAAACTTTATGATGCGATTCCAGGTTCAGATATTCATTACCCTGCAGTAAACACAATCTTGAACATTGTGATGCCTTTTCAAAACATGAAAATATGTCGATGCAGTCTAAAACATATGTTGGCACCACCAGAAACTGCGGCTGTTTACCGTAGACTTTCTTAAAATTAACTAGAGAGGACTCTGGCGCTGGGATCACTCGACGACCATGGAAATGATGTGTAGTTCACGGATTTGCCTAGTCTTCAAGCTTGCGGGCTTCGAACGCATTCGTGGCTTTGTTTACTGCCATGTTTTGGTTTTATTTCAAATGAAAGAACAGACGGCTGCGAACTTCATCAACCGATTTGAAATGGTGAGCTTAAGGTTAAGGTAGTGAAGGGCAACTATGGAACATTCAGCTGATCTTTGTTTTGTGACAAAGCAGCTCTAAGACACGTGAGACCAAACAGAGCGTGAAGTGCGAAGATTAGACAACTCCGTGCAATACCTATCATTTCCATGCTCATTGAAGCACCATGCATTGCAGCTCCCTTAGACACTAGCGCCAGAGTTCCATCCAGTGTACTTATGAGGAGCCCCACATTGTTTACCGAGCATGAGGCTGCTATTGCTTGATAGCGATGACAATGAGACTGTCCTGCTGTTGCCACTGGATTGCTTTTGAGTTGCAGACTATCCGAAGCTGAAGCTCAGTAGCTCAGTTTATAGTTTCCTTCGCCAAGCTGCTGGGTGCCATTGTGGAATGATGCCTTTTCCAATGCAAATAATTTTGATTCTTTTTGCACTTGGCCTGCAGTGGTCACTGGTCAGAGCGGCTGTTAAGTCTGCATTGTCAACAAAATCAGCCAGTCATGACTGGTGGCTGATAAGAATAGGATAAAATAACATGATGATTTCAGCGCAACAAAAGACTTACACATGTGAAGGACAAAGGATAGACAAGTGCCACTAATAACTGATTTACTGCAATGGTACCAATGGAATACCAAGCAAAATGGTGCATATCTCAAATAGCACATATCACACTGACACCACTTATCAGGCGACAGGCATGTGATATAAAAAAAGCTAATTTTATAATTGTACAAGCAGATAAATGTGTCACTAACACAGTTGCTTCCTTCTTTTTATATGGCATGTCTCCCACAGGTCACGAGCTGGCTTGTTTCTGCTTCTACCCAAAATGTTGGCCACACATGCATTTTCGACAGTTGGATAAAGTATGGGCACTATCTGCTCTTTTTAGATTTTCTATATGTTCCCTTAACCTGGCAGCGGCTTGTTTACCTTTGTACAACTTTCCGCAAGACAATGGTATGTCGTACACTACTCCTTGCACACATTTCACAATGAGCATGCTTCTTCGAGCATTTCTTCTCTTGCAACGCACCTTTGTGATGCGAGGGCAAAACTGCGAGCTTGTTGAGTGCCAAAAAAAGGAAACGGGCCCCATGCCTATTGCCCACCTTCTTTAGGTTATGTGAAACCTTGCGTGGTGTGGGACGAAGTGAAGTGAACTTTATTTGGTCCTGGAGAACTGTTCAGACACCGCCGCAGTTGCTGGCCACGTACCATATATAAAAAGGAAGTAACCGTGTTAGTGACACGTCTACTACTTCTACAAAAATGAAATTAGGGTTTTTGATATCACAAGCCCATAGCCCGAATAAGCGTGTTGCCGTAATGAGTGCTCAGTGCATCTGCACACCATTTTGCTGATGTTTTATTCCTATCTTTGCTATAAATTAGTCGTTAGTCACTCTCATCTGTCCTTTGTCTTTCACATGTATACGTCTTTTGTAGTGCTCAAATCTCCATGTTATGCAATCACCAACTCACCCAACAACAAGTTCTTAGTAAGGGAAGATGAGAGTATAAAAACACATTTTTCTCCAAAATTACATGTTTTTTATTTTTATTTGTTTTCACCAGTTTAGTTTCTCTACTTTCACAACAACAACAAAAAAAAACTGAAACCTAATTACTCTCGAAGTAGGTTAAGATCGCTTTTAAAGAGTACAAAATGGCTAATAAAAACTAAGAACAGCTCATTGTCTTAAGTCCCCTGAAATTGTCAGCTGGCTGCTTGCCATTGTATTTGCATGAGGAGTTTCATTTCTCATAATCATACGGTTGTTTTGGGACGTTAAACCCCACATATGAATTATTGCATGAGGAGTTCATTAAAGCCACCATCAACTCAAATTAACAATAATTGCAAAGCTCTCATAATGACAAAAAAACATTTTATTAAACATATCTTTGCCACATAAAATGAGCTTTGACTTGTATCTTTAAAATCCATTTTTCTCAAAATCCATTTCTGGGCAGCTTTTTGAGTTTAGACATGTTTTTAGTACTTCAGATAGCCAAATCAGGATGACATTTTTCGCACATATTCCTTAACATGTGAAGGGTGCAAGCATCTCCTTCAAACTTTATATCACCTCTATAATTATTACGAACCTAAACCAAACAATTGTTATAGGCTGAGGATTCTAATAATTTTCACAATACAAATTTTCTTGTCCATTAAAATGCCTTATACACACTCTCTTGATAGTTATTTGCATTCTACAATTGATGTGGAGCAATACGAGCCATTAACGACTCATAAGCATATGAAGTTTAGTGGCAGAACAAGTTTGTCTAAAATGAACTATACTTTACACCTGTGCAACTATGAAACTAATTACATATTTAAAATCAGTCTAAGAGCCCATATATACAGCAATAAATGGTACTGCCCTAGGCTACAGATTAATGAAACTTTCCCTTGTAAACAGATCTCCCCTTAAGCATAAAATAAGGCATAAATCACTGCTCCACCACAATACAACACTTTCATCTTGACGCTTTCGGATGCACTTTGACGGCGGACAGCTGGTGTTAGTGTGTTAGTGCAACTGTTAGGTTCGTTCAGGAAAGCCACTGGGGCCATTGTTTCAGAGTGCTTTTCACCATGGCCTCGCTACACATAGGTGAGAATGGTGCCATGACATTGCTGGGGAAAAAAAAAGTAGCCAACACTTTCTGAATTTCGGAAATAAACATTCTTTTGTTTTGCTAACTCAGGCCAGGCATACGTATTTTCTTTATTTCACTACAATAAAATTTTTCCTTCAACAAAATTTGTTTTGAGCCCTATCAGTTTTGTTGTAGTCGGGTTCGACTGTATTGGTATACCATTATTCGTATATTGTGAAGTATAGAAGTACTTACAATGCCATTACTCAGAATTATGGAGGGATGCGAGGTACCCGCTGCACATCTGTCAGTATGTATTGACCAGCCCACTTTAACATGTGAGTCCGTAAAGCATTACTTCATTTTATTTTATTTTCAAATGCTTTACAAGCCTCACAGGGGCATTCAGTAAGGTGAGGTTAGACACAAAAGTAAGAACAATACAGGACATCTGGAAAAATGGCAAGCACAGCAAAATAGCTGAAAGCACAAAGCTAGTGATATCTGACATTAGATTAAGACATTATGAATCAACAAAAAATTAAAGAAAAATGGAAATGCACATTGCATCAGACATATTGTTACGCCTGAAGTAGGGGTACGGGGGTTTATTGAACGGAAGCTGGGATGGCGATCAATCCGGCACATACACGTCGTAATAATATTATTGAATGTAAGTGCCATGCACAGATTGTGCAGTTTTTGGTACTAGCTGGGATACACATAACAAACAGGTTTTGTGATAACAGTATCAAAATTGCCGATTATGTATATGCTGTGGCTGTAGTTTTCATAGTAAGAAGATGGTTCCTTGGCCGACTGCTTAACGTGTGCCGGCACCAGCTCAAATAGAAGCATGCAGCACCTGTTTGGAATACAAGGTGCGTGTGATGGATCTTGGAGGCGAGTGTTAGTAGAAATAGATCGTGAGGAGGCTGGTTGGCACAGCAAACATGGTTTAACAAACAAGGGAAAAAA